AAGCAAGGTGTGCATTTCCCCAGCAAAAATACGAGCTCATCTGACATGCCTGATACCAACAAAGGACAAATAGCCTTAGGCCTAGGAATTACTCATTTATGGCGAGACACAGAACCCTGGTACATGATGTTGACAGAAGTGTGGTTTTAGAGAGAGAGTGATCTAATTAGTGTCAATCCCATCTCTTGGAGATTCACAATACACATTATCATATTGAAAGGTATGAAACCTGTTGAAGACATTTAACTTTCTTTAAGCCTAAAGTTTACCTAACTTATATGATCATGAAACTCTTATTTGTGGAGGATCTCCTCACAGTTAGAAAGCAATACGTATTACAAAATCTCTTTGGGGAAAATCATTGCTTTGGTACTTTTCTTATGACTACCCAACAGTAAAAAGATACTCCTCAAAAAAAATTCCATGACCAGACAAGCTGGGGAAACTCTAGGTTTAAACAGAGTTAAACAAAATTCATCAATGTAGGACTCATCTCACTAATATGCTAATACACACACTGCAGAACTCTGAGAGTTGGTATTTTTAGCACTAACTTTACAAAAACCATATCCTGCAGCTCTCCTTGCTCCTGAGTTCTGTGGAGCCATGGCTTGGTTCATAATCAACTAGCAAGTCTAAGTCTAAGAGTCCTTCTGCATCTTCTGCACTGGACATAAGCTCCAGCATTCACCTCATTTGTAGCCTTCCCACTGTGCTCTGAACAGTGCCTAACACAACAGAAGCTGACAAACACTTGTTGGATGAAGGAATGATGACTCAAGTGTCATCCCCTAAGTTTCAAATATACAAACATTTCCACTAAGTAGTTCTCAAATATTAGTGAATATTAGTATACATCAAAATAATTAAGAGAGTGAAAATATGCATTTCTGGGCCCAATTTTTGGTTACAAGTAAAGGAATTCACATTTTTGGCACCTCAAATGATGCTAATGGAGTTGACTGTGCATTAACAATCACTGTATTAACAAAAAGGCCACTAAGTTAGAACATTTTAGAGCACAAATGTCTCTTATATCTTCTAGTACACAGGAAAAAAGATAAAGATTTGCTTGATCAGAAAACAAAATTAAGGAACATAAGTAAAAATCCTAATAGTCTATAGTTCAACACAAAGATGAAGTCCCTCTCCAGTGGCACAGGCTTGCCAGATGCAATGGCCTTCTCATCACTGTGGTGGTCGGGGGGAGGCTGCACACAGCAGAAAGGACATAGAGGGCAGGTCGTGATTAGATTAGGTTAATCTGTAACCCTGAGATTCTGGGACAAAGACTGGAAGCTCATATACCTTCATAGAGTCTAAGATTATCAGGTGGAGCAGGCAGTAATGATGCTGAAAAGTCATTGGAATTTAAAACATAATCACTCATTATCACAAGCATAATGGTAAGCAGGATTCACTTGGGGAAGTGTGCAACCTCTATGATTTTTTTCCCCAAGAAAGGAACAACTTCCTGAATTCCTGATTAAAGTGAGACCTGTCAGTTTTGGGTGGTAGATGCAGGGAACATTCCAAAAATATATTGCAAATATTTTAAGCATATGTTAATTCTGAATTATTCAGGGAAATTTCCTTCTTGAAAAATTCCAGCTGGAGTATGCAGGTACACGTGCCTGCCTACCTTTTGGTATGCATGTACATACTCATTTCATCTCTATAATCTTTCTACTTTTTCTCACTTTTTCCTGAAGTGTCTTCAGCAGTAAATATAATAGTTAACTTTCCTACTAGTACTTTCCCCAGTCATTAAAGGTGACATTACTTTCCTAATACACACTGCATGCATACTTAGAAATTGCTATCACATCTAACAGGACCCTGATGTCAATGGTATAGCACCACTCTAAAAGAAATCCCAATGAAGAAACTTCATATGAAGAAGTCTCATCTCAGAGTCTCATTAATGGATGTCTACCTCTGCATTAATGGATGAAGAGCTGTCTGTCTGCCCCGATGTTAACTTTGACCAGACCCTCCTTACAAGCCTTTAGAGGTATGTCTCTCTCCTGAACTCTTGAGTTATTCACACCATTCTGATTCCTCTTATTCCCTCTAAAGTTCCTAAATAACTTTAGAGGAGTTATGAACCCCCTGCTAGGCCAAAGAAGCTGAACAATGTCTATGGGTAGGTAGAGGAAATTCTTCTTCCCGGCTTGGCTATTTCTCTTCTATGCCCACCTCTTAATGCCCCTAGTGGAATGTTTCATCAATGTGGTACCAAAGTGATCTCACAGGACTCACTGTTTCTATTTGATCATTTTTCAAAAGCTAACAGAGACATTTTTAGAGATCCATAGCCATAATAAGGAAGATGTTAAATTGCAAAGGTGTTTTGCTCAGAATTCTTATTTCTATTCACAGAAAAAGGAATAAACACCACAGTTTCGGCTGAGAAGATATACATTAGGTCTTGCCCAAACATGATACAGATACATCATAAAAGAGGGTATATAAATGGCCAATAAGTTTAAGAGAGGATACTCAACTTCATTAACCATCAGAACAATGCAAACTAAACCCATAATGTAGAACCACTTCACACCCACAGAATGACTAAAATGGAAAACACAGACAATATCAGGTGTTGATGAGGAGATGGAGCAGCTGGAACTCTCATACACTGGCAGTGGAAGAGTACATGAGCACAGCCTTTTGAAAAGCTGCTTGGCAATACCTACCAAAACGAAATCCATTCATACCTGATGGCCCAACAACTCCATTCTTAGGTATACCCACCAGAATGGGCTCATAGGTTCACCAGAAGTCATCTACAAGAATTTTCAGCAGTATTCTTCACAACAGTCCCAAACTGGAAACAATTCTATCTCATCAACAATTACATAGAAACACTGTGGAATCTGTGTACTTACAATTCTACTCACGTAAAACTTTTAACTAGGCACAATTAAACTGTGTGAGAAGTTAGGATAGTAGTTACCTCTGGTGGGTAGTGAAGGGAAAAGAGAGAGGGGGGTGTTCTGGGAACACAATGATGTTGTTTGGGGGGATATGGAGTGGGTAATAAAGGTAAGTTCTGTTCTCTCCCTACCCCTTACCAAACAGGCCCATCAGTGTCAACAAATTAGATAATCAGAGTCAGATGCCTAGAGATGGTATGATCTTAGATGTCATCGCACGTGGTCCATGAGAGCAAGCAAGGCCTAGAGAGATAATCGGCTAAGTTGATGCACATGGCTTGTTGAACAACAAAGACCACCTGACCCCCACTATCCCAGTTTATATCAGCCTTTATCACAGACAGATCTGGTTGCCCATTACTTCTTTCACACCTGTGACAGATGAAATTTTTTTAACCTACTTCATTTTTCTTCATTGGGTGATAATTTGCTCCCTATCCTAAAGAAAATCTCTTCCTTAGAGAAATTACCCAACATCTAATGAGACAACTGATCAGACTCCCCATCAACCACAGATCACTTCCCCATGTTTAGCTGTGTTGGGATTCTAACTATTGTGGAAAGACAATGGCTAGAGAGCCAGGAACTGCTGGGCCACTTTCCATATAAGTCATTTACTCCTGACAGCCCTGGGACGAAACCCATCCCGTTACTCCCATTTTAGAGATGAATAAACCACGTTGCATTGAGGTTAAGGAATTTGTCTAAGGCCCTACTAGTAAGCGCTGGTGTGAGAATTAGAACTTGGGCAGACTGCCCTTAACCACGAGTATACAGAATTAGCTAGTTTAAGGAACTATGGTGGAGTGCCAAAATCCCTAAGGACTTTAGGGTTTAGGAGTAGACAGAGAGGGAAAGGAGAAAGCCAAAAAAGCAGCAGGAGATTCACCCCAACAAAACAAAGAAACTAAGATCTATTCATGCATGTGTGCACACACATGTGTAAGCATGTTATAATCTACAGGTCATTGGAGAGCCATAGTCACCATTTAAATGGATCCAGCTTAGTTGGGAATTGCTAAAGCTTTTCTTTACTTTATAATTTAAATAGACCAAAGAATATTGTGTCTGTGGTTATGATGAAAGGTTTTAGCTGGATTTCAGGCCACACTCTGAAAAAAAGTTACATGTCAACTAAAAAATTCAACTAGCAAAGAACACGAGAGCTCTCATTCACCCCACATAAACCATTCCTCTTGCTTATGCTACACTGCACTCTGTACATTGCCAACTAAACTCTCAGTTGGGCTTTCTTACATTTTCCTTCTTCTGGCCACACTAGGGCATGACCACCACGTGCCTCACACAAAAACCTCTCCTGTCATTCCAAGACATTTTTCAGTTGCAACACAAAATAAAAGCCTGGACTGCTGTTTACAACCTCATATATTTGATGGAACCCTGAGTGGAGTAATTTGCACTAATGTTCTTGGCTTGGTGCTTAACAGATGAGGACTATACAGAAAAGAAATTAACATCTGTCCCCAGTGCTTTTAAATGTCCTGCCCCCCGGATGCCACACTTCATCCTTCCTTCCCAGGAATACACCAGGCCATGTTCTAAAAGGTTGCCTTATGCGAGCAAAACAACACTAACGAGATTAGTTAAAGGAAATCCAAAAGCCTTCCATCTATAAAACTGAAGGTTGAGTTCACTAAGGCTACTGAGTGCAATCTGCCACTGGAATCCAGTTTTCCCATTTCAAAGCAATGTAGATGTATGCAGTTTGTTAGATTTATAGAACGCCTGGTCTCCCAAGACTCTGCAAAGCGAATGGCATCCATCAAATTAATTTCCTTGGGGATCGTCTCAAACATGGACAATGAAAAGGCCCAGACCATTAAACATCAAAAGAATGCTCTAAGTGATAATTAAAGTTCTATTACATTTTCTTTTTTCTGAGAGCAGATTAGATTAATTCAATTGAGAATATTATAAGTATCAAAGTTGACAGAGTGAGTGTGGAGTTGGCTAGAAGAACTCTTAATATTACAGACATCTGTTCATTCAAGTTATGCAAAACACGAAAGAGGGAAGTCCGCTAGACTGAGGCAGACTTACCAAGCCAGCACACGTAGACACAGCAACAGAGGAGAAGCTGTCATTTCTGATAAATCCCTGATAGAAACATCGTCGCACTGTGGGTTCCCGAGTCTCAGAAGCACCGTCTTTCCCAAGTACCTGGACCATAAAGTGACTGCTCAAAATCGCGGAGGGTTTAAGTTCTAAGTGTAGTTCCTGTCCAAATGCTGAAAATCGGTAGTGCAGGGAGCTCCTGGCACTCTGCGCCGATCGCTTTTTCCTGCCGTTGTGCAAAATGTCGTGTGAAATATACGACCCGCCCGAGTCCACTTCCACTGGTGTGACAAAGACGTAATCTGCAATGGGAAATGTTTAGCTGTCAGCACCCAGAGCCCACAATGCCAAGCAGTCACTTTCCAACAGTCTGGCCAAAAGCAACAGATAGCTCCCAGACACCTGTGTTCCTATGACCATACAGCTAGGGTGAATAGACTTCAGAGCAGCTCATAAAGGAGGAACTGCACTTAGCTCTGCCATGGTCATTGCTAGGGAAACTACAAGCCAAGCATAATTTTGATAAGTTTTAACAATAGTTGTGGAAAAGGTCACAGATCACAGTCTGCAAAAAAAGATAGTTGGACTTTTTACCTATTAGCCATACAGCCATCTGAATGTACAATTTCTTTGGAGACAAAAATTAATATTAGGCCACAAAGGTAAGTAAATTGGATATCTTTTTTTCAAGGCGATTAATAGTTTTGTGTTTAAATTGAATTGGGAGTATATTTTTTAGCAGAGTTTAAGTTGCAAATGACATCTCACATTGGTGGGGGAGCTTCAGATGAGCCCGCGGGGATTAACAAGCAAGAGCAGTTTTATATTTCTAATACCTTCAATGCAGGATGTAAAACTCCAGCACTTGTAACACCTTTAGCATTTTACTATGATCTTTCACAGGGATGAGCCATTTAATCAGAAGCCAAAAATACAGCACACGCATGAGAATACCTCAAAATTGTCAGAACCATCCTCAAGAGTCTGATGTTGAAAATTGCTCAGACCTGTTGGAGGAGGTGTGGCAGAGCCCGGACACCTGGAAAGGCATGTTTAAAAATGCCTTCCCATTGCTCCCCAGAGCAGCACTGACATTGCTGCATGTCCTACAGAAGGGGAGATGAGAAAACAATTTGCTGTTTGAAAGAGCAAAGCCAGCACACTGTTTTCTTTCACAAAACATTGAAACTGAAAAGGACCCTCCCCCAAGATGATTTGGAGTACACCCTCTGCATTTCTACTTTCGAGGCACAGAATGGGAAACTGATTTGGAAAGTGTTTAGAAAGATTCCGAACGACTAAGAGGCACATTTGAGTCACTTGTGTCCTTGGTTACTAGAAGAGGAAAAAAAGGAGGAATTTCCCCTTTTCCCAAACAGTCAACAACAACCCAAAATTAAAATAATAAAAATAAAAAGCCCACAGCTTTTATGATCAGTACATGATATTCTAATATTCTGATATTCTATCACTGTGTGATTTCTAATGTGAGCCTATTCTAATCAGGCTCACATTAGAAAACAATATGACAGTAACTTTCAACAATTTTTTTTTCTGTGCATGCACTTGGGTAAAGCTCATTCTGATCACTCCTGTTTCCATTTTCTCCTTTAATTAGGAATGTTATGTAATTGACATCCATATTTTTCAGAAATTGAAATTAAAAAAAAAGAGCTTTTCCCTTCTCTCAACCTTAAAAACCTGAGCAGGACATACTTCATTTCTCTTCAAAAATTTCCAATATATTGTTTTGTAGGTTATGTGGCTTTTGATTAAACACAGGCTTTTCTTAGAGAAAACCCACCTTCTCCCTTTACCAAAGTCAAATCTAACTGACTGCATAAACCATCTCTAACATATGGTCCACACAGTTTCCACAGCAAGCAGCTTCTTACCTCCTTGTCCAAAATCATCTGAAACTCTGCCTGCTTAGTTGGGAGGCCTTGTGGAAGCCTTATCCAGCCAGCCCCACCCCCCAAACACCTGCTGCTAGTTTGTTTCTAAGGGAAGAACCAGCAAGCTTGATCTTGGTTACATTCAGTCCTTGCTGGGAAGAGGGGCATTGGGATCCCCCTGTAAGGAGTTAACTGATTCATTAGTTCAGGAGCTGGTCCTCAGAGGGGAACACTGGGATAGAAGGGCTCTTCATTTGATCCCCACGGAACAAGGAGGGGTAGTTTTAGAAACTACAGTCTAGGAATGAAGAGCTAATTCCTGGTTTCTCTTAATCCATTGTCTAGCAGCCCTTCTCCCTGATTCCACCATCCCCCAGTCCCAGCATGACCCCTGCCCCTAATGAAAATGATAGAATCTCAAGGAATCCAGGTTGGGCTGCAATATTTTGCAGACAGCTTGGGTCAGGCTGCTCTCCTATAGCTGGTTTCCCTTCTGGGTACCACAGGGAAGTTGATAAATGACAGAAGTGAAGGATGTTCTGGAAGTTTGTGGCTGGATAACTTCAGAAGAGACAGATAAAGAACGTCAAGACTTCAAGTTACTATTTTCTTCTCTCTAAAAGCCTTTGGGCACCGAGGACACAAGGGCAGCAAAGAAGGGACAAGAAAGGAGAGGAGACAGAGGAAGAAGCCGCGGTGGGAATGGGGCTCACTCATCTTCAACCTGACCAGAAATGTGTCTGCCCAGAAGAGGAAGGCTACGAGGAAGGAGTCTTTTGATTATTAATTCCCTAGTTGGTGTCTCCTTCCTTTCTAATTTCTCACCGCAGTTAAAATCATTCTTTCTTAACAAGCCATCTGTGAAGGAGGGAAAGTATTTTCTCATTTATGCGCCTTGTAGCTCCAGGCACTGATTCTTCTGATAAGTTCACCAGCCCCTGCCACTTCCCCCTCTCTCCAAATAGGAACCATTTCCAAGACAGCACACACCTGCCAGTTGGAGACTGCGCTCCCCCCACCCCCATTAGAAGAGACAAAGCGTTTGGAAAGTCCCCTCTTCGGGGGTCTGGGGGAGGAGGTCAAACACAAACCGTCATTTAATCCGTTGCCATCACTATTCTCAATGTCTATGGCCATGGCGACCGATGCACAGCAGAAGCAGCACAGCTGGAACGCCTACAAGAGAAAAGGTGACATCGCGCATGAGGGTCGCTGTGGGGCTAGCGCCGGGCTCCCCTTACTACCCGCGATCGGCGCGCCCCTCGGTGGCACCTGCCTTGGCCCAGCGTCCCAGCCCTGCGGGACCCCACCGCGAGCGGGACCCCGCGGCCGAGAGGGCGCACGCGAGCAGGAGGGCGCACTCCATGGTCAGGTGCGGGCGCGGCGGCTGCAGGCGGCGGGACGCGGCGAGCGGAGCGCACGAGAGGCGCGCATTCTCCCAGCGGCCCCGGAGCGCGGCGCCCCAGGTGCGGCGCCAGGTGGGAGCCGCGGCGGCTCACATGGCCGGGCGGACGCGCGGGGGCCTCTGCTGCTCGGGCCGCCTGCGCGCCCCCCCTGCTGCTGGCCCGGGCCCGCGGAGCTGCCGCCTGAGGCGCTCCGGGGGTGTAGGAGGCTCCCCGGGGGTGTAGGGGGCTCCCCGAGTTGGGGCTGGAGCGCAAACGGCTGGGAGATTCTGTCGGTGCCTGCCCGTCCGCCCGCCAGTCTGTGCGTCTGTCTCTGGCGGTGGGAGCGTCTGAGGCTCCCCCAGCGCGCCGGGGCCAAGCGCCCGCCTCTCCACCGCTCCGTGATTGGCGACCAGTGGCTCCCGGGCTCGTCCGAGCTCCCGTGCTGCAGGGGCGTGGGATTCCGGGCTGGGGCTCCGAGGGAGGGGGCGAAGAGGGCGGAGAGGGAGGGGAAAGGAGGGGAGGGAGGGACAGACCGCCGAGAGAGGTTGGGGAGCCCTGGGTCAGGCTTGGTAAACGTAATTTAAGCGCACCTAGAGATGAGCCTAGAAGGGGGAGGCTCAGGTAAGAGGCGCTACGTGTCTCACTGCCTGTGCAGACTTCTGATTGACAAGTCTTTTGGCGAGAGAGTGGAGAAACTTGAGTTCCAGACACTTCCTAAGTGCCGGGAGCAGTCCCCTGCTTTATCTCATTTGCTGAAGGCTCTATCTTTACATGGTGGGAATCATTAACCCCTTGATGACCTTGAGGAAACTGAGGCTCGGAGGTGCTCAAGGTAAGCTAGCTACCTGGGGTCCTGCGGTGACAGGACAGCTGGAAGACTAGAACAATGTCGCTGTCTAAAGCCTGTGAAAAGTCCTGGCTTGCCGCGACCTCCTTCTCTGGGTCATTCTCTCTGTCTCCAACTCTTAAAGGTTGAATCTTGACCCCATATATCCAAATCTACAGAAATCAGCCATAATAAACAGAATTTGCCATTACGCTGTGCCTCCAACTTGCTGTGTGCCTGTTCATTTACTCAATACAAATTATTTGATTCTTTGATCCCTACTTTTTTTCAGAGAGAACAAAATATATTCTCACAGGCCAGTGGTGAAGACCTTCATTGGGTAATTCAGAAACAGTAATAGAAAAAAAAAATGACCACAAACACTGTAAAAGAAAATAGGCTCCTAAATTAGAAAGATAACAGTAGGATCTAATATAAATGGGGAGGAGAGAGAGAGAAATATATGTATGTAAGATATTTCTTAGGAGCTAACATTGAAAATAAGGCCAAAAAAGAGTAGGTCAGTTTTACAAGAAAGTGGGGACTAGGATCCTACATGTTAAGAAGGGCACAGCATAAGTGAGGAGCTTCAAGCAGGAAAAGTGTCATGATGGAAGAGTTACAAGCCACAGTGAGAGGTAGAAAGAGCAGTTGCTGGGATGAGAAGGACCTTGTAGGGTGGGCTGGACTAAAGCAAGAAGGAAACTGTTAGACCTTAGTGAATGTGTATTTGTGTGTGTGCACTCACTCGCCTGTGTAGGAAGCAATAGCAGAAAGCCCAACGTGAATCTTCTTCAGTGTGCATAGGAACTAGAGGTACCCAGGCAGGCCACACAGGAACAAGTTAGGTTGCGACCGACCAGCAACAGGTAGACCTAGGACTACAGAAGCAGAATGTAGACAACGTCTAGCTGATGGCCTCAGAGGGAGAAAAATCGGTGTTCAAAAATTTCCCTAAGTAATTTGCTGAAGCTCTTGGGGCCTCTGTTTTATAATGTGTAAATAATAGGAGTCACTATCATGCATCAATAGGATATCCCAAAGATTGAGTAAAGAACAGAGGATATTGTGTCTCTATTACTTCATATATCCTGTGTCAAACTTTCATGTGCATCACAGCATATGATTACAGCTTGAACTGCACATTCCTGGGCCACAGCCCATTGGAATTCTGATGCCATAGATTTAGTGTAAGGCCCAAATCTGCATTTGTAGCAGGCACCTGCAGGTGACTCTGACCCAGGTGTCTTAAGTGCCTATGTGATGTCAGATATGAACTAGACACTAAAGGAATCTGGACATCAAAGAGTAAAAACAGTGCTCAAAGTCACGCCACCAGGCCACAGACTGGACAAAAGAGGGGACAGGTCAACAGCACGATCTGTCACATTACCAAGTAAATACAAAAGGAAACCAGAGGAATAAATGGTTTATCCACACTCTGCTGAACTCAGCCGTGTTCCTGATTTGTGTTTCTCCTCTGAGAGACACCTATAAGAAATATTCCTTCCGGCTTCTTTTGTGGCCAATGATACAGGTTTCTCGCCAGGGTCCCAGAGAACAACTGTACCTGTGCTGGGTTGTGTGTTATAAACATAACGTATTTGGCAGTATGTCTAGTCTCTACCCACTAAAAGCCAGTAGCACCCTCACAGCTATGAAAAAATGTTGTGAGACTTCTAGATGTCTGGGGCGGTGGGGGGGAGGGAGGAGGTATCCAGGTGAAAACTTGAACAAATAGTGAAGATGTCAATCCTAGTTTGTGACATTTTTCTTCATCAGCATGGAGTCTTGTAGCCTCTCATTCAACTGGATATTTGTTGAGTGCCTACCTGTAAGGTGCAGGAGACCTCCTGATTTAGGAAGTTCATCCCCCTTACTGATTTTTCAGCTCTTCTCCTGTACCCCAGTAAGTCTGCTTCCTGTGGATACCAGTCCTCCAAAGTTTGGTCTAGAAGCTGAGACTCATTTTCAATAACCATAGATCCAGCTATCAATCTTCCAGTTCTGCTCATTTACAGATGACACAGTCCAACCTCTTCTGCAGGGTTAATACATAAGCACTTGCAAAGCCATAGTTTCTGGGATCATTTTATACTTTCAGTCTTCCAGGAACTGGCCCTGCAATATGTATAAACAGTCTCTAGATGGTGACAGAGAGTCAGGAGCACATGGCCCAGCCTTGAAGAAGACAATCACAAACCAGCACTGGCTTCTAAGTTGCCTGGATGTGGAAGTCTTAGCTGACTTTAAATCAAAGACATTGCATGACCATCTAAAGTTCACAGTAAACCAATGGGGAGGGGATATCACTGATGTGTTGTGTTCTTTCAACCCTAGCCCAGAACATGGCACACAGTAGGCGTTCATAAATGAAGGAAGGGATGAAGGAAAGGAGAGAAGAAAAATGTGAGAGAGAGAAAAATTGCAGTTTCACTCTTTAAAACCTTTTTCCATTTTCAAAATCCCTGCTTTTAAATCAATTCTAGGCATTGGTTTTTTTCTTCTTTCCTACTGACATAAGCTTATTTATTTATCTTGCAAAGTAATACGTCCTAAGTTCTATACCTCCTCCGGCCAGATCAGGAAGCAAATGGGTTATTCCTGTTGTTTATTCACTTTTCCTTTTATTCCTGGTCCACAAAGGTGCAAATATTCTTTTCACAAAAGTAAAACACATTATGGCTGGCTTTCTGTGCTATCACCTCCTCCTTTTTTCCTCCTCTCCTTTCCAGGCAGAGTGGAGGGACACTGATTCCCCTCCAGCTTCTCAATGCTGCATCAAATATTTTGTCAGGTTTTATTGACCAGGTGTGTGTCTGGCAGTTTCCTGTAGAATGACTTCTGAAGTCGTGCATCCAAACACAGAAAAGGATAAAGTAGAAGACACTGACTTATTTCAGCACAGTAGCCAAAAGAAAAAACAAAGACACGGAAATGGATTTACCTCCTTGCAGACCTGAGAGGAAAGGGCTACTTTCTGGTCAGGGTGTCCTAAATGAAGTCCAGTTAGCAAGGATGTTCTCCAAGTCAGTGAAGAGGGGAGAGAGAGGAGGTGGAAGATCACAGAGTAACAGGTCTTGACTTGGTCTGCCTTCTTTAAGAGATAACCATCCAGAAAGACAAGTTTACTACACAAAGAATGAAATTCAAACAAGTGACAGTCACCTTTTTGTCAAATTTATTAGTGACAAAACAGGAGGTAGAACATCTTAGTTAACCAAATAAATTTTGTAACTAGAGGTCATCAAACATGATTTAAGAATCCTCAGCTGTTCTTCACATTCAGTTTAGTCTTTTATTTCACTTCTTTTTGACATTGGCATTGATTTCTTCCCTTTACAATCTGTGCTCATCTGACTTACCTGGATAGTAACTTCTCCCCTCCTCATCTGAACTTCCCCTGTGGGTCACACTTCGGCTGTGTATTATTCTATTTTTTCCCTAGCTCTGCCATTAAACATGGCTTGTTTGCCAGAGGTTGAAGAGGTAGTATTAAAGCTAGACTACTTATTTCCACAAATGAGCTCAAGGCCAAGTTCTGAGCATAGCAGAAGAATGGAATACACACTGTTCAAAGGTTCTGGAAAACACCAGGCCACCTAAGAAGGACAAATAACTTGTTTTCAGGAACCTCCATTACAATCCTGTCATGCACAGGCTGGACAGCTCTCCCTCTGCCCTAGGCGTGGGGCTATGAGGGCTGGGAAACACTGTTAATCAAAATCACCTGGGACATCCTTAGAAGTACATGTTCTTGGCCTTCCCATGAATACTCCAATTAAATGGGTCTGGGGTTTTGATGTAACTAAATATATTATAAAACAATTGTGATCCACTGTACTTCCACTACTACTTGGATGCCAGCACTATTTCCTGGTCAATAGGATTTAAAGCTTCTGGGATGCCTTTCTCTCATTTCTTATTCATGGAGGAAGTTAAATATCACAAAAAAGAATAAAGGACCAACCCAGCTTTGAGTCCCTGCTATGGTGCTGAGGGGTAAAGATATTTTGTTTATTTGATTTAATTTTGGGGTGAGAGAGAGTGATTTGACATCTTACCCTTTCTGTTTACCTTCTTCTGGTTTAATCCATGATTTAGCCATGTCCAAATATACAATAACCCTTTATTTTTGATGGTATTGGATTTTTT